CACCTGCCTGCGCTTGGGCCATATTCCTCCAAACCTTTCCTATTCATGTACTTATCTAAATGTCTTTTAAATGTTGTAACTGTACCCGCGTCCACCACTTTCTCTGGAAGTTTATTCCACACACGAACCACTCTCTGTGTAAAAATGTTGCCCCTCGTGTTTTTTTTAAATATTTCTCCTCTCACCTTAAAAATTTGGCCACTAGTCATGAAGTCCCTCACCCAAGAGAAAAATCACCTGCCATTCACCTTATCTAGACCCCTCATGATTTTATAAACCTCCATATGGTCACCATGCGCACATGCACAGACAAAAGTATAAAAGCCATTTTGTCAGCTTGCAGTTGCAAAAAAAAACTTTTTAGCATTGGTACCTTTTTAAATATTAAGTGAAAGCATGCCATACAAAGCAAAAGACTTGAAGTACAGGCAAATCACATGGTGTTTTGCCATTGGCTGTATCCATTATCCTGAGTCTGGAGGGATTTAGAGGACTTTTGATGGAATAACTGTGGGATCTTTGGATCGTAGGTCAGGAATAACAAAATTTTCCTTTTTATTTAAACCAAACAGAAATCCAGGTAAAATAAAATCTTATTTCTATTAAAAACACATGCGATTTTGCAGCCACGCTGGAAATATTTTCCAAAGAACTTAAGAACATTTTCACATAAAATACAAAGAAATGAAGACATGTCTCATAAAAAATAACAGTGTAACCACTAAAGGAACCAAGGAGGTTATTAGGCCTTCCTTTAATTTTAAATTATATGACAGTGTACCAGATTAGGTATTAAGGATAAGTAAGGCAATGTTGAGCTAATTTTCTGACCAGCAAAATTTCTACATCATTTTAGCCACTGGTGGAAAATTGTATTGTTTCTGACTGACCCTCATGCCAGTTAGCAAATTCAGGCCTAGGTTTAAAATATGGTGAACTTAACCAGTTATTGAAGATTGGTACAATTAACTTTAATCCTGCTATAAATACTGAGGCTATTAGGTATGTACTAGAAGAATCTGGGCCAGATCATAATTGACATTTGAGATCAAAGTTAACACACTGAAAGGTTTTTATTTTAATGTGAATAAGCTTGCAATATTGTGGATCTGGAGACAGGCACTAAAATAATGAATTATATTCATGTTAATGATTGTTGTAATAAATGTCACGATCCATCATAGTATTACATTTTATGTTCATGGTGCACTGTGAAGAATGCAAATATTGGTCATTGCTGCAAGTCCATTTTCACAAATGAATTTACTTTCAATATCTCAGAAAACGTGGCCCTAATTTTCCATTTCTGTGGCATTCCAACAAATAACTGGACATCCTTTGACATGCCTCCAGAACAGGTGGAACTTGGATTTGGATTTTCTGGTTGAGAGTTAAGAACACCACCACTGCAGCATAAGATCCCATTTAGGATAAGCCATCATTAAACTTTTAGTTACAGTGGTTGCCCTCCCGCTCTCCTCGGCTGTAAGGTCAAGGTACAAGTCCAACTTACATCAGAAATATAACATGTACCAACAGGTTGATTCAAATTACTGATTCAGCAAGGATACACTCTTAACAACCTTTAATCTTAAACTTAATCTTCATGAGCCTTTAAATTCTCCCCTTCCACTGCAAAGAAGCTAACAAGTTACAAGCAATGGATATATTTTCTGCATTATTGGCTTGAATAACTTTCCACCTACAGCAATGAAGGTGAACAATCATATTAGAAAACCTACAATTGTGACGTTGCTGTTTGCACTGTACATATTGTAGATTTTTATACAATGATTTTATTTTTAAAAATTTTCGTTTTAAAATATGATTCTTGTCTTGTGGGCCTCATAGGCAGAACTACATTTGTTGACCATTCTTATTTGCTTTGAAGGGTGATTGTTGCATTAAATTGCTGCTCCTCTGAGGATCAGTGCATTCCCACAATGGTGCATGTGCAACTCAATGAAGGAAGGATTATGAGCATCCAAATCAAGATGGTACAAGACTTGGAGATGAGTTAGACTTATGCAGGCTATGCCTTACCAGATAATCCATGCTGGGTAGAGAGTAAGTACAAATGCAATAACAACTGGTATTAATATAACACCTTCAACAGAATAAAATATCCCCAGAAAGTTCACAGGAAGGCAAAATTTGACACAGAACAACAGAAGACAATACTAAGACAAATGGTCAAATAATTGGTCAAATCAATAAATTTGAAGGAGTGTCCTGAGGAGGAAAGAGAGATGGAGAGCTGGGAATGTTTTAGGAGGGAAATCAAGAGCTTACATCTAGGCAGCTGAACACTCCCACCAATGGTGGAGCAATTAAAATCAGTGATGCCCAAGAGACTGAAATCAGAGGAATTTTGATATTTTGGAGTGTTGTGAGGCTGAAGGAGATTACAGATATAGGTAGGGAGGGGGGTCATGGAAGGATTTGAAGATAAGGATTAGTATTTTAAAATTGAGGTGCTGCTTGACCAGGAGCTAATTTGAGGACTTGTTGTGACACACGGAACAGAGATTTGTATAACTGCCAAAGAGTAGGATTTTGGAGGTTCACCAGGAATGTGTTAAATAATAAGTTCTAGCCATAACTAAGGTATAGCTGATGGTTTCAAGTGGATTTGTAGTGGCAGGGGCATAGTTGCATAACGTTATTGGAGAAATAGATGTTACTATAAATAGATTAGTGATGCCACGGATATATGGTCAGAAGCTCATCTTAGGGACTAGTATGACAACAAGGTTGTGAGCAATCTTGTTCAGTCTTGAACACTTACATGGGAGAAGGAAGTGTAATTTTCAGTTGTTCAATTATTTAGTATTTCACTATGTGTTCTGTTGATTCTTCTCCTCACTATGCGTGATTAGTTAAACCTGGCTGCGATCAATGAGAAAATGAAATTGAACAAACAGCTATAAGTGTGGAAACAGTCGTTTTAGTATTTCAACAAAATCCTTACTCGCATAGAACCTGGTGTGTCATCTCTGCATGTATCCAAGATGTAAAATACAACAGGAGCCCTAGAAAAACTAGAGTAAATGAGAATCTGGGCGATAGTCCCCACTTAGTCATACCTAACTCAAAGGAAGATCATTGTGGCTATTGAAGGATAATCACCTCAGCTCCAGCACATCATTGCAGGACTTTCTCAGGGTCATGTCCTAGACCTATCCACCTTCAGCTGCTTCATCAATGACCTTCCCTCCATCATAAGGTCAGATGCAGAGATGCTTGCTGATGATTACGAAATGTCTAGCACCATTTGCCACTCTTCAAAGCTAAAGCAGTCCATGACCATATACCGCAAGACCTGGACAACATCCAAGCTTGGACTGATAAGTAGAAAGTAATACTTTGCCACACAAGTGCCAGGTTATGCCATTTCAAACAAGACAGAATCTAACCATCTCTCCTTGATATTCAAAGATATCACCATTGCCTTCTCGAAATCTAAGTGAAACACATCCATGAGATCCCTTTGTCCACCCTCTTTGTTACTTCCTCAAAGAACTCCAATAAATTAGTCAAACATCATTTCCCTTTCATTAAACCAAGTCTCTCTGCCTGATTAAATTTAGATCTTCTAAAGTGTCTGCTATTACTTCCTTAGTTTTAGGTTCCATCCTTTTCCTGATTAAAGTTGTTAAACTAGCTGACCCTTTAGATTCTTGAGTTCTGTCTCTCTCCTTTCTTGAAGAGAGGAGTTTCATTTGAAATTTTCCAATCTAATGGGGCATTTTCTTTGAAAATTAAGACAAATGGATCTATCACAGCTGTGACTTCTTTTCTGACACTGAACTGAGATCTATCAGGACCTGGGGACTTCTCAGCCTTCTTTAATTCTAGTAATTTGTAAGTGTCTTTTTGCCTGTTGAATTTATAGTTTTAAATTCCTCTGTCTCTCTCAACTCCTGGTTCACAATTATTTCTGTGATGTTATTTGAATCTTCAGCAAGAAACTGATGAACAATATCTGTTCAATTCATCTGCCATTTCTGTATTTCCTATTATTAATTTGCCATCAATGTTAATCTCTCCCAATCAATCCCGTATCAGTCAGCCAAACATAGCATTAAAGCTACAACATGAAGTGCAAGTGCGAGGAATCAAGCTTCAATATTAAATTCAGACACTAGAGGGTAGCAGATTCAAACTTTGGATGCATTCTACTATTGTGGAATGAAGATGAAAGGTCTTAGAATTTGCAATAAGGATTACGCTGAGAAAGGTGAAAATTGAAATTCCAGTAGCATTCTTGAACAATCACTTGAGATAAAACCAAACCACACGAATTTAGCATCTCTGCTGCAATAAAACTTCCAAAATGTTTCGGAGACGAAGGAATCTTTTTGAAAAATGCAAAAGAAAATGTAATATTTGTACAACGCGCAAAATTGCAGTTATTTCTACCGCAAGGGTACTTTTAAGTTCGCAAAAGCCTAAAAATGCTGTATGACTTATATAGTTCTTTATTTAGTGGCTTTTTTTTTTGTCCTTGGTTAAAAAGGGCACAGCTCCTGTAACACATGGTGAAGAACGGGGTTCCTGAAATTAGTTAAAACGTGTTAATGAAAGACAATAGAAATGAACACAGCGAGTTGGATACTTAAACACTGTAGTCTGATGAAGTTAGTCACCTTCAAATTTAATCAATGGAAGTCACAGTAAACAAAGTTAGACTGAGTTGAGTTAATCTCTCTCTCACACACGCACAGGGGAAACACAAATCCCTGGAATTTGCTGCAGCTTTTCAGAAGGAAACTCACTTATGCAATTAATAATTGTGTTGAGGTGGTAGATTGGTGAATGAATTTCCACTTGAACAAGGCAAAACAAAAGCAAACATTCCTTTTTTTTCAAAAAAAAGGATGTGGGCAAATGTCCTGCCTGGAACGTTAATTTCAAATGGTTATATTCATTTTAATGGACGTCAGACTTTCTCACTAACTTTCATGACTCATGCTTTTGGCTAACCGGCTGGAGTTTGATATGGAAGTCTGTATTTTACCGCTTTGGATGTGATCCACAGTCACTTTGCTCCTGAACCGTAATGGTATGTCTATCTGGGCTGATCCTCCTTCGGGCTCAGCTGTTGTATAAAAGCTGCCAGTTACTTTTCTTCTTGTCCACTCCAATTTCACCGCTGAGAAGGTGACAAAGCAGCCAACATGAAGCTCTTGTTTTTAAGCACCTTCATTCTCTTTGTTGTAACATCCTTTGATCAAACCGAGTCATCTTACTATGACAAGATACTGTCTCACAGTCGAATCAGAGCGAAGGATAAAGGGTAAGTAAATTTTTATTTTGAAAATGAAAGTGACAGGTCCAGAAATCCATGAAATTACACATTGAGAATGTGCTCACTATAAAAATGACCAACCTCAAAACAAAACTGCTGTATTAGTGTTGCAACTTTTCTGGGTAATTTAGTAAAGTGACTATAACCGAGCCTCCTGCATACTCAATGTCTAATTTGCAATATTTTTATACCACTTCAGTCGCTTGGTTCACTTTAGACCTTTTCTTTTCTCTCCCTCTCTGTTTGCAGACCTAATGTGTGCGCCCTTCAGCAAGTGGCTGGGACCAAAAAGAAATACTTCAGCACTTGTAGGAACTGGTATCGTAAGTCTATCTGCGGCAAAAAAGCGTAAGTTTTAATGCAAATTCTCACTCAAGTGATTCAGGGGCAGCACAATGAAATGTACTCGGCTTCCTCTGATGATTTTACAAACCCGCTATCTAAAGCTTTGTAGCCAGCTGCTAGTGTCCGAATCAGACATGTGGTACAATAATTAGTTGAACTTTAAAAAAATCTAAATCTTTTACATGAATTCTTAAAAAAAACTTAGATGATTAGTATTGTTTTTGTTGATTCCAGACTGGTCGATGTCACTTACAATATAGACGGACATCAAGGTGTTAATTTCTTGAGCAGGGTTAACCCAGGGAAGTTTTGACATTTTGAAAATCGAGATAAAGTGCAGAATTTAAAAAGGAACTGGAAACGGAGACAAACTATGTTAAAATTAGTTAAAGCCCGGTATTTCAATGGAATTGATATTTGGTGAGTTTAAGAATCATTCAGCTTTTCTCATGGGGTCACCACAATTCTAGTTGATCTCCAACAATGTTCGATTTGGTGGTGGTTTCACATCAGGATGCTCTCCCTTCCCCTTTGCTAACATCCCCCATCTCTCCAGGCAAGACATACACACGAATGTACTAACTTATCTGCTTTCTCTGATACCAGCAAGTCCTCTACTAGGAATCGAACGTGGAGTATTCTAGGTCAGAGGCAAAGGTGCTACTACCTGAGCTGCAAGACCCTTAAATTTAAAAACCCACTCCGCTCTCTTAAGATAACTTCCTTTAAATGTGATTGCTGAGTCTCAGACATGTTGTCCTTTATTAGCAGAGGCAGCAATTAAAAGAGCATGGAGGGTTTGATGGAGCTGTATATAACATCAGTTCAACTACAGCTTGAAGACTTCATACAGTTCTAGTCACCCCTTTATAGGAAATTTGCGATTTCACTGGATACAAAAGAGATTTACTAGGATGTTGCCAGGACTGTAGAATTATAGCCATGAGGAATGATGGATAGGCTGGTATTGTTTTCCATGGAACAGAGAAGATTGAAGGGTAACTTAATTGAGGTGTACAAAATTATGATGGGCCTAGATTGAGTAAATATGGAGGACTTATTTAGCTGAGCAGAGAGGTAGGGAACAGTGGAGCAGAGATGTGAAATAATTGTGGAAGACTTCAAGGGGAGATGATGATACATTTTTCACCCAAAGTATAGTATTCCTGGAACTCATTGCCACAGAACATGGTATAAAATGCTTGGATGTTTTCCAGAAGAGCTGTGATCTGCAGAGCTGCGGATCACAGGAAGGTGGAATAAAGTTAGGTAGCTGTTCATGGACTAACATGAGTGTACAATAGATGGAATGGCCTCCTGTGTTGTTCAATGTCAAAGTCAGAGGAACTGAGTAGAGGTTTGGTAGGGTTGGAAGAAGTTACAGAGATAGGGATGGATAAAGCCAGCCAAGAACAAATTCCAAGTAAGAATGAAAATTTTAAGACTGAAATGGGATTCCCCAGGACCATCCCAGATGTACATTTGACCTCCTGAATGCTGCTGCTGGTAACCCCGGGGAAGTGTACATCTGTACTTTGTTCATGGCTGGGTACTAATTAATACCTATCCCAAATGAGGTTTACCAAATTCATCAGACATCATACCATCCAAATTGTTTCTGCATTTTGCATATTAATGGAAACACCACGCAACCTGTGATGTGGCTTGGATAGAGTCCACAATACATATCAAAGGCCTATTTTTCTCCTGTAATATTTGATGTGCCTGAAACAATTATAACAGAAGTGCACTATGATTTTCAACAGCATAATAAATTATGCCACTGACTGCCAATTTTTAGAGGTACAAATTATAAAATAAAAACTGTACAAAGGAAAATGGAACTATGATAAGTCAGCAAGTTTTAAGAATCTGCAGATAATTTGAACCTTATCGTTATGAGCTTTGAATGAGGTGACAGTGTTGTTAAGGAGTGCAATGCTTTCTGTCTTAGGCATCCAGGCAATCAATCTCAGATGAGATATAAAAGTTAAAAATCAACTTCTCATGACTGACACCCAAATGAGGAAATAGACATCTAGGACACTTTCAAGTAGACTATTCATTTCTTTTCTGCATTGTAAAATTATTTGATATCATGTGACTGGATATTCTATGATTGAAACTTCTAAAATAGATCTAACTAGAGGTGACATTCCTAGGGATTGATAGCCTGTGTAGGTTGGTAAGTAGAACCTTGTGTGGCACAGTGTTGGATGAAACAAAGTTTGCTGGTGTAGATTGGGAGGTTGACTAGAAGTCAGTATAATTCTGGAGATCACAAAGACATTGATAGCTTTCAGTGGTAGTTGAGCTGAGGTCCCAGGAGAAGCATCCAATGTGGTTTAGTTGGTCTATGTAGTCCATTTATATAACTTGAATGACTAAGGTTGGAAAACTGCTAATGCCAACATTAGTGGATGAATGCTTACCATACATACATGGTAATTCTCTGCTATTTTTACATTGCATTAACAGAGTTGGAAGCAACAGACTAACTAAATTACCAACAATACTTTCATGGATTTATTGTTCAGAGCTGATAATAAAATTGATCTTCTGCATTTAATTCTTGTCTTATTATTACGGTTGTGTTAGATCACACTTCCAATTTTAGTACCTTTGTGAAGTGATTTGAGCTTTCGACCAGCATGAAATTGGAGTGTAAAACTACTTAAGGGCCAAGCCTATTGCCAAGGAGAAAAGGAACACCATTCCTTAAAGAAAACAGTTTCAATTTCTTTGGTTGAACACCACATGGAGTGCAAATCTATTGGGGGGTGTGTGTCAAACGTGGATTACAAAGGAAATGGCTCACCCACCCAGCCTAATTTTTATACTTGTGGGGTGGAAATCTTCCCATCCCATTTCTAAGCATTGAAGTTTTAACATAATGAGAGTGCTCTGCCAGTGCCTCCCTCCAGTATGGTGCATACAGTTCCATCCTGTGAAATGGTTCTTGTTCTTGACACCAATGCTGCTGCATCTAGCCGTAACCAAAATGTTGTGAATGGGCTTTAACAGTGCATTTTTAAAAACAAATTTTCGTTAAAATGAAGCAGTGTTAATCTAACTTTTTATAGTCAAATTGATGCTCTTGATCTCCAGATGTTACTCACTTCTGCAAGAGATAGGCTCATGTCGCCAGTGATTTTGCATGAAATCAGCCTATGAAAAATTTCCTTACAACTTCATCAGAGAATTGACCACCATAAAGCCAAGGTGGTGCAAAAATAAACATTGCAAGTCCCCTAAAAAAGTTTTGGAAATTTACTGATGAATGCTTTTCAACTCTGAATGACACTAACTTAGCAGGAAGGAAAGCTGAATGTGAGAGTCGCATAAGTACAGGTGGTACAGGTGATATTGCATAGTCAGCAGCAAGAACAGGTCTCTGAACACAGGCTGATGCATAGAATCATAACGTCATAGAGTCATACAGCATGGAAACAGACCCTTCAGTCCAACCAGTCCATGCTGAGCATAATCCCAAACTAAACTAGTTTTCTGATGAAGGGTCTAGGCCCGAAACGTCAGCCTCTCTGCTCCTATGATGCTGCTTGGCCTGCTGTGTTCATCCAGCCCTGCACCTTGTAGTCCCTCCTAATGTCCTTTAGGGAAGGAAACGGCTGGCCTATATTTGACTCCAGACCCACAGCAATATGGTTGACTCATAACTGCCCTCTGGTCAATTGGAAATGGGTAATAAATGCTGGTCTGGCCAGTGACGTCCTCATCCTGCGAATGAACAACAAACAAATCTGCCTGCTCCTGGCCCATATCCCTCCAAACCTTGCCTATTCATGTACTTATCCAAATACATTTTAAATGTTGTAATTGTATCTATATCCACCACTTCCTCAGGAAGTTTATTCCATACGCGAACGACCCTCTGTTATTCTGTAATATAAAACTATCAGCTGATTTGCCTTGTGCTGTACAGAGTAATTAAAGTTTCTATTGACCCAGAGAAGAATTTGAGATATGGATCTATAGTATCACTGCACCTGAATACATATTAAGCTCCTTTTCTTCATATTAATATATCAACGTAGTATGTCAAATATATGCACTTTTGTCTGCTATATGCTCGATAATTATACTTGATGTTACAGAAACATTTTAATAACAGTTAAAAGAAAATTATAGTTTTAATTCGAACTTTCACAGCCGCACGTTGTTAAAAGATACATTTAAGACTTTGCGTTTAGAACACTGAGGTATGTAGATCAAGACTTCAAAACCTCCGTGCTTTGGTTCATAAATTTTGTACTAAGCTTTTATATTGTAAATTTGATCGATTAAACAAGATTGAAGTATCAGGAGCGTAGTTCAGTGCTTTTTCTTTCTACTATCAACAACGAATGTTATAACTTCAGTCTTATTAATGAATCCCTCAACTATTTCCTTACATGTACATTAGCATTACATCAATAGTCTATAGTCATTAAAACTAATGCAAGCACTGCTTTTTCTGGTCTGAGCGTGAAATATTTAAATATCCTATCAAATTATTGTCCCATATGCTCACACTCTCAGCAACACACTGAAACAACAAGCAAATATCCAGTACATATTGAATTTCTTAAAAAAACTCATGAAATAAAATAACTATGCAATATGTCATACTTATGCTCTTTTAATCAGGAACAGTTCCATATGATTAAAAATGAGATAATTCTCTGCCCACATTCTGACCTTTATATTCTCAGCTTGCTACTCTCTTCCAGTGAAATGCAGCATTAACTCAGGGAGCACTCTCATCTTTTTTATTAATTGCTTTACAACCTGCTGGACTCAATGTTGAGTTCATTGTCTTCAATGCATTAACCCTCCTGCCATTTATTTATGCATTGAAAACAAAAAGTGCTGGAAATCACAGCAGGTCAGGCAGCATCCATGAAGACAGAGCAAACTAATGTTTCGAGTCTAGACGACTCTTCTTCGGAGCTGACATTATTTATGCATTATTTATTGTTTCTGCAGCTATATTGTCAGTTCTG